AACAACGATACTTGCTAAATTAAGAGTAGGGGCTGCATCATCTTCAGTGAATGCTGTTGGACGGCACGATAGCACATTCCATCGACTAAAATTGGCCCTATAACTCTTTCTACGAACGACAAAAACTTTAACTGATAAACTAGCACTCAAATCAATTTGTTCGCGAAAGTCTTTTTTTGTTTTTGTCTTTGGGGGGGGGGGGGCAATCGGACAACGCTAAAGGGGCGCACTTCTTCTTGAAATATGCATTTGCTCGCGTATTACACACAAAAAAGTTTTTTGTGCAATTATCGAGAAACACAAATTTGCATCGAAAGTAGGCCACCAATACAAGCTACCATTCGGGCCTTCCCACCCCCCGAAAATTGAAACATTGTTTTGCAACCTAAAGCAGCAGTGCTTACCCAGCGAGCAACGTCACATCGATATTCGCAACGCCATCGACACGCCGAAAAAAATATCGTGTCGACAAAAGTTTGGCCTTTTGGTTTCATACTCCATGTTGACACGACTAGGCTACGATGTGCCATTTCTGTATGGGTAAACCTATTCAGCGGTAAACCATGTGCAACTGCTAAACACTTGTGCAACGGCCAGTTGAATTCTTAAAAGTAAGTAGCTCGGTAGTTGTGCACTCATAAGTGCGTAACTCCTCTGCTGAATACCTCTATAGATTGAACGCTGCACGAGGGTGAAAAAGAGGGGAGTTGCATAGATGGAAGTTAACAACTACTGAGTTAAATACTTGCAAACGTTCTCGGCCTACTACTCAGTTGAACAGTTGCAAGTATGTAACTTGTTGCACACTTACAAATATTCAACTTACAGTTGCCCACTAACAAGAGTTCCTCAGTTGCACAATTCTGTAAATATTTTATTAATGGCTTTAACATTCGTTTAAGCAGTTTATACTTCCTAGTGTAGTAAAAATGCTGTCGAGCTGTCCAACACCACTCGCTTACGTTGAGCCGAAGTAAGAAAAAAAAATCCTACCGTTGGATTACGGGTCGTTGATAAAAAATATATTCAAGATTGCTACTTTACTCGTTTTTAAGACACAGTTCCACATTAATTTACACATTTTTCGGACTAGTTAAAAAAGACACACAGCTGTGGCAAGCACAAAAGCGTAGAATTGATTTTGTGTCTGTGAGGGGACACTGCCTATAAACGCTATGAAGGTAAAAAGCGGTGGGAAGCATGCAAATATTAGCAGGAGTCTACCTGTTAGGTGGGAGGCAGTTAGTCGATGCTGGGTTGTAGCGACTATAGCCCCGGGACCGGGTACCTCGGCTTGGGAGGAGGACGATGAAGAAAGGATATTTGTTAAGTCAGTCTCGTTCATGCCGTGGAGTTTAAGATAGTCCTCCAGCTCTGGTCCTGTCAGGTCAGTTCGAAGCACGTCATCGCGCATCACAACTCTATGCTGTACGACACGACTTGTATGTACACTGCCATCAGGTCCTGTTTGTTGAGTTTCGTATGATTGGTCCCCTGCACCAAATCTCTCAATATAGTCTTTAAGGGCAGCCTCTGAAGTAGGGCCTCTAAATGTAACTTTGCGAATCTCCGGTGAACTCTGTACTATTCGTTTTATTACATGGGAATATTCAGGGTCATCAGAAGGCTCAACAGTCTCGTGAATGAAGGACCCTCCTTCTACAAACGTCTCCTCAAACCACACTCCCTCAGGAGGGATGGAAGCTGATGCCTCAAGCGTTTCTGTGCTGGACATCATAGTGTTAGAACCCCCGCTGGTAAAACTAGATGACATGTTGGAGTCCGTTTCATACTGATACGTTGCATGAGTAGCAGTTGAGCTAGATGGCTCCAAAGAGTCAGTGCTCCCGAGCATAGATGGGTCTATCCTACCTCCTCCGCAAGCGCCAAAGGCACTGGACGAGCTCAGATCGCCATCTCGGCCGCTAGAACTGCTCCTGTCGCAAAGTGATCCAGTTCCTGATTTTAAACTTCCCCTGCCAGCAAGCGAAGCCTCTTCGTCTTCAGCATCCCCTCTTTCTAAAGTTGTTTCGAGCTCTAAGGAATCAGATGAAGTTATCATGTGGCTAGGGTCTGTTGGAAGCTCAATCGAATCAGTCATGATGTCAGCTTTCATTGGGTTCTTCAACTGTTGTTGTAGTTCAATGGAATCTGCACTGGTGATCATATGCTGACTCTGGTTAACATTAACATCCAATGAATCTGAACTTGTAACCATGGAATCTGATAACTTCCGAATTTCCAAGGAATCTGTACTAGTAATAAGAGACATCGGAGCATCATAGTCCAAATCCGGCACTCTAGCCACTTCTTCTAAGGAGTCGCCACGACCAAAAGACTCAGGATCACCTCCAGAGCATCGCGGTGGTTCGTCAAAACGTTCAACGTTGGATTGAGCTTGGCGAATAATCTCGTCGATTTCAAACATACGTTTATCGTAGTCATCAGAATCAGAATCTCCTATAGTTTTCATTGCAGCGCCAGAAATGGTTTCGTCTGAGTCAGATACTTGACTTTCGTGCCCCTCATCAATTTCAGATAACATTGCCTCTTCTACCCTCGCTCGTATTTCGATGCGCTCCGCCTCTACACATGCTTTCTCCATTTTTTCAAACTCTTGCAGGGAAGCCAGAGATATGTCGTCCCCTGCAATCCGCTTTTTAGGTAAACCATTAAGGGAATCTTGTGATCCAATCATTCGCTTGTGAGCTGAATCAAGTGCTAATTGATGTTCCAAGCTCTCAAATTCCTGCAATGAGCTCATCGAAATGTCATCATGTTCTCCTGATCGGGTGAAATATTTTTTTCCGGCGAGCACGTCATACTCGGGAGTACTGCTTAGTGATTCTTTCACACTACCACTCCCAAAACTGCCAACAGATTCTTTCTGACTACCAACACTTCCTATTTTACTACTCGTTCCCATTTCATCCTCTTCTTTTATGTCTTCTAGTGGTCCTCGTTCAAATTCCATTTCGTAATTGTATCCTGCGGTAACTGCTGCTGGTTCTTCGACACCAAACTGCATTTCAATCCACTTTTTTCCTGCCTCAACTTCTGCTTCATTTTCTATTTCGTCGTCTCCTGCGGACTGGTCAGTGTCATGAGCAACGTCAAATCTAAAAGGGTCATCTTCATCTAACATGCCACCCTCACCATAGTATTTCACATCCATCTTACGCGTTACTGGAGGGGGTGGCGATTGTGCAATGAATTCCTCATCGTCATGCTCTGGTTCTCTACGTTTCATTGGAATGCTGGCCGACGCAATCCGAACCCCCTTTCCTTCAGTATCGCTTTCTTTGGCTTCTTTTCCAATTTCCTCTATAATAACAAAGTCCTCGGAAAAATCTTGCTTCGAATGAGCCTCATCTGGTTTCTCTAACATTTCAAATGATTCGCTCGTGGGAGATTCTGTTACTGAATCAATTTCACTGTTTTTGCTCTTTACTTCTTTGCAAGTCTGATCAAGAACGGTTGACCCTTCAGATTGAGTCATTAGTGAGTCGTCAAGGACGTACTCTCTGCCTTGGCTGGAGTCCGTCGTAGTTTCTGAAACTGTTGTAGACTCCCTGCTCGACATTGCAGATTCAACAATGGCTTGCTCGTCATCTTGCTCCAAGTCAGGATACTGGAATTCCTTATCAATTATTGGGGCCATGTGCTGAGTGACGGTTATATCTGGAATGTTTGCTGGTGATATGCTACGCATGTGCTCCTCTCTCCGACGAACCTGCTCTTTAAGCGCTGCTTCACGCGCCTCTAGTTCACTCTGCTCTGCATCCTCGTCCTCTATAATTGTCTCAGGTAGATTCGGTTGATGATGGTGTACTCCATGGTGAGGAGAATGGTGGGGAACCATGTGGAATGCCGCCTCGGCCTCCGCCATTTCATCTTCGTGTTCGCCTGGGTGTTCCCAAGCGACACAGGGTTTGTCTTTAAGAGGGCTCACGTGCGAAGCATACTCGACAGTACGGCTGAAGGCATGTGCCTGACTGTATTCCATGTCTAATTCAGATACACTTGCGAGTGCTTCAGAGGAAAATTCAGTTAGATCGGGTTTTATTTGAATCTCCTCTGCCGGCTCCGGTGTGAGGGGGCGCTCAATAATGTCTTCGCAGGCAGTATCGGAAGACCCCTGTCGCAAGACTTCTGCTAGTTCAGAGTCAGCTCTTTCATCAGAAAATCCAGATGAAACGGCTCTGTGGCCACTCTCAGAGTCAGACTTGCTTACTTGAGACTGCGGTCTGCTCCCATCCAGCTGCTCCAGTTCTGGTTCTACATCGTCCGACAAATAGCGACCTTCGCGGGCCTCGCGGTGAAATGCTTGATCTGCCTCTGTTTGGTAGGACTCCTCAAGATCTTTCTTCGATGAGAACGTTCCATCAGTTGGAGACGTTCTGTGTTCTTCATAGTAACCATCACTCTCGGGTGCGTGGCTTTCCTTAAGCGGATTAGAAACATGTTCAGGCAACGATTTTGGTGGGATGAATTGCGAAAAATTACTTGTGCTCTCATTACGACGATGAGACCTTCTTGGCAACTCGTGAGGAACGCATGTACTTTCTGAGGTCACTTGTGTGCTTGCGGACTGTATCCCATTTTCGTCTACAGTTGACGTCAATAAAGTAACAGACGATACATTACTGTCACGTTGGTGAGTTGGTGTTGAGGTCTCAGAATCGACAGTTTTCGGAAGTAGCGATACAATGTTGTCCTCCGCATCCTCTTTGAATTCAGATGAAATACTCATTTCTTGAGAGGTAGCTGACACAGTTAGCTGCTCGGATGTTGCTGACGCGTCCATTTTGTCGGAGTCAGTTCTTGACAGCTCAACCACCGTTTTAACCGCTATGGTTTCAGATGCACTTGATATACTCATGCTTAAGACACTTCCAGTGTCTCCGTCCATGCTTGAAGCCAGCTTATCATCGGGACACGACGACTGCTCCTTCCGCTCCTGGTTGAAGGTCATTTCATGGGACCTTTTCATTATGTGTGGTATTTCGTCTTCTTCGTCAGTTTCAATCTGATCTCGCGTATCCTCAGCGTCGTCGTCAGACACATCAGCACTAGGATATTTTGCTACACACGAAACCTCCTGAGAAAGAACTCCGGCGCGATTGCGCTCTTGAAAACTAAGGTCACACCTTCGTTCAAGATCGTCGTCTAGCACAATGTTTATGCTGTCATCCATATCATCAAGATCTGCCCCTGATGGAACGAGTGTCTCAGACGCCTCACTCGACACTTCTACGCTTGCTAGATGCCCGCTACTTTCAGAGTCCAGTGATTTCATGGATTCTCTTGAACTCAGAGAACTGACTGCTGTTTGGTAATCAGTTGATGTCATAGAGCGAGCCGAAGCAAGCGCAGACTCATACTCGGAAGAACCTGTTGTAACAGCAAGAAGCCCCTCTACATCAGACGAGCACGGTCTGCTGTAGGATTGTTCAAATGAGTGATAATGACTTTCACTTGAACTCGAGTAAGGATCAAAATCTGCCCCTGAACGCCGGTCTGGATAAAGCGCACCACTACTTCGCTCTCCAGAACTGGAAGACTCTCCATCGGGGCGCGACTGATGCCGCCGAACTACATTTTGAGTGTCCACCATATCTTTGCTGGTTTCACCGGAACTCAGTGGTGACTTATCGTCTTGAGATGATGACTTTTGGGACTCTATACTCTCTGCGCGTATTGCAATATGTTCGTTTAATCTGTCGACGGCTTTCTCAGAAGTGGGAACCCCCGGAGGACTGCCGTCACGTGCTCCAGTAGATTCCTTTGATTTTCTCTCTGGTTTAGGTGGTGGTGTTCTCTTGCCCCCACTGCTTGTCGTTGAACCGGTTGGAGAACCACGAGGGACGCACTGAGCTGGAGACATGTTATTACACTCAAGGGGTGGTTCTTGCGACTCAGAAATGTTGTAACAACCAAGAGCATCTGAGGGGAAATCTTTTATTACTAATTCTTCCTCCAACTCTTCATTAACTGCATTTAATGATTGTTGAAGTTCGTCTAGCGACTCCACATCGTACTTGCCCTTGCGGGTTAAGTCAGCTCTAACTTCTGAATGGTCAGATCGTGTATCACATTCATCGGATTCCTCAATGATTGAAAAATTCTTCTGTAGTTTTTCATTCGTCGTATCGTCTATTTGTATTGGATCAGGCTTCAAGTCACTGAGATCGATGTCTTCTGAACGAAGGGCTTCTGGTTTTTCGTCCTCTTGCCTAGCTCGAGGGTCCATACATTGATACAAGCCAGATTGACTTTCTGTTGGGGACAAGTCAATTTCAACCCCACTACTGCGGAGATCTTCATCGGTAATTTCCATGCTCGACGTAGTGGTGTCTGTTCGCGAAAACAAATGACTTTGATCGCGCTGCTTCTTGGCTAAAATAGACTCCATAAGTTCTATTTCTCTGTCCTCTAGTTTTTTCTCCTCGGCGATCTGACGAATCGTATCAATTATTGGGACTTCTATCTGTCTCTTCGACACTTCCTCTTCTATATCTTGAACTAGCTCTTCGGCAACTTTTCTAGCTTCCTCTTCCGTAATATGAGTAGGAATGGTGTTAACAGTATGTGACGTGTGCTGCTGACATTCTTCAATTTCCCCATTCTGGAGTATAATTTGACCGGAAGGTACAAGTATGTCGTGAACAAATTCTTCCGCAAGAGGGTCAGGTTGATCCTGAACGCCGACTTCCCACACTATATCCTGAATATTTTGCTGGGGTTGGTACAATAAATGTCCTTCCGACTGGTCAGGATGGTCTTCAGGTGTTACATCAGACTCGCATTGTGTGTCCTCACTAGAACTTTGACTTTGATGATCTCCAGGGCCTCGGGCACCCTTGCTATCAGCACTTGAGACGCGAGACTCTGCGCGCCGTTGGTTCTCTAGTTCCCTGATGTCTTCATCAAGGTCTCGAGATTTTTCGGTGTCTTCGGTTTCACTTTTGTCGACGTGCACTTCTAGAGAATCCGAGGGTTTGCAAATTGTCTCTCCTTTGTACTGCATTACTTCCGCTAGCCTTGAGCTAGAGACTTCATGAGTGCGAGCTAAACTTTCTCTTCGAAGTTCTGTATTGGTCTTATCGTCATCTGAGAAGTCCCTTATTTTTTTATTGTAGTTTTGAGGTGTATCAAAGTTATTCTTTGAATCTCGAACTTCGTGCCATTCAATTACTTCTTCTTCGGGGTATTGGATAACGTGTTGCTCTGCCTTGTGTACCATTGCTTCTGCATTACTAACCGTTTCTTCCACTAAGGCGACAGCAGCGTCTCTCATTACATTGTCAACGGCCTCGTCCTTGTCAAGAGTGTGTGACAAGCATGCGGCGGATGGTCTATCCAATCCTAAATCTGTTTCAGAAGTCTCATCGGAAAATATAGAATCTCCCAGGTCGTCACTTGGTCCCCTGTGAGGTAGTTCTTTGTGTTCTGGAACGGCTTCTTCTTCAAGCTGGCTAAGCAGATTTTCAGCAACCAATTCTTTGCGCACATGGTCTTCAAACTGTTTCTTGCGTTTGTTTGTAGCCGGCTCGTCAGTGCAAGGAAGTGATATGGATCTTTCGTAAAGCGCCTTCCGAACTGCGACAGGGGGTGGTTTATCACCGTATTCCTCTACGGAGTGCATTCTTGTCGGACGTTTCGGTGCGCACGTTTCGTCGTCGTTGACAAAGGCATTATTTTCTTCGCCTAAGTTTTGGCCTCGCTTTGTTAAATAGTCAGCTTCAGAGTCAACACTCTCGTTGCGCTGACTGTGCCTTGGGACTGGAACAGGTGCAATTTCTACATTTACTATCTCAATTTCCTCATGCTGAGAAGCCACAACTTGCGTTGGACTAAGTACAGATTCAGTTGGTGTTTCCGCTGAACCAGAGCTAGCAACTTGTTCCCAAAAAGCACGCCTTTCAGAATAACTCTTAATATTCTCTTGAATTGCAGGTTCAGAATCTGGGTCATCGTCTTTGTCAGCAGTCTGAAGTCGTGGGGTAGGGTGTGGGCAAGAGGATGGGGGCGGCACCTCTGATCCAATCCGTCCTCCTCCTAACCCGTCCGAAAACTGACGAGTGGTGCGGTCTAGAAGAAATATTAGGGAGTGTGTTAGTGCCCATAAACACCCCAGCAAGGGAAAAGTCGGCTTTGCGATATTAGTAAACACCCAGGGTTACATAGCCATATATACATATAACTCATATACACGGCCTTCAATTGTAAAGGCAGCCACCATCAGAGTAATAAGGACAGGAACCGAGGCCTTTGAAGAGAGGCAGCAGTAGACCTCCGAAAATTACACAAAAGTAGTTTGGGAGTACGTTTGATGTAAGCTCCCTTCAGACCCTTTTCACAGACAGTTTTGACAAAAATATAAAAACATGGCATCTTGCTGCATGCCTGTTTGACTTGAGTGCACGCACACCACACTACCAAACTCGTAGTTTTAAAAAATCCTAATCTACAAAGTATGTGCATTATTTCAAAACGTTCTATGCAAATGGTACAGTTCTTTTTACAAATGATTACTACTATACAGTGATAATGTGTATTCATTTATGTATCCGATCGTATTAAAAATCTGAAATCATTTTGAGACGGTGCCTTTAATAAGTTCTACAGAAAGTAGCCACAGCAAAATTTGAGAAGCACTGCACAAGAGTGTATAAAAAATAACTGGGAGGTGAAAAGGCACCCAGTGGGTGATTAAAGAGGTCACGGTAAGTTCACTTCGAACGTTTCCACCTACCCCTCTTACCCTATATTCAGGGGGGTTATAACTTTTTTGGCCATAATTTGGGGTTTAAAAATGACTCTACCATTAATAACTGAGAGGTGGATGGCTTATACCGACATTACTACCAGTTGTAAGGATGTTTACTGAAAATATTTCACTTGTGAAATTTAAAACCAGAATTGATATCAGGTACCTAGATGAATTCTAAGATTTGCTGTCAAAAACCTTAAAAAACATGCGCGCAAGATTTTTTTAATACCAGAAGAGGTAGACATGCGTATGATAGCTTAAATTATTCGTCTCTTCAATGCCTTTAAAACCTTTACACAGGATTTTGGCCGTACTCAATCTGGTTTAAAAGAAGAAAAAATTAGAAAGGTCAAAGACTTTTTTTAAAATTGTGTAAATTCTTTTGAAAAAGATTACTCCTATAGTTTTTCCCAGACCTTGAAAATCCTGCGTCATTTTAAAGATACTGAACAGACCAATAATTTGAGCAATCATACGCTTGTCTACGTCTACTGACATTGAAGAAATCTTGCGCGCAAACTTTTTAAGATTTTTGACAGCAAATCTTACAATTGCTCTAGATGCTTGATTTCAATTCTGATTTCAACTTTCTCAAGTGAAATATTTTCAATAAACGTCCCTACAACTGGTGGTAATGGCGGTATAAGCCATCCTCCTCTCAGTTGTTTATGGTAGAGTCAGTTTAAAACCCTTAATTTTGGCCGATAAAGTTATAACCTCACTTCAACGGTTTATAAGGCGGTCTAGGGGAGTAATCCGAGAGCTCACCATCACCTCCCCAATCGCAATCCGTATGAAAATTTATGAAATCGATGCATGATTGTGAGTGTTGCAGAACTGCCTGTCTCAGAATTTTGTGAAGGTTTCAGGGGGATACACTAGCTGGATATGTTTCGTTTATAATGTTTGTTATTTTTAATGTGTCTTCCGTTCATAGAGTTTTCTTGTGGTTGGTGTGTGCACGCAAGCCCCACACGCTTCAAAAAAATCAACAGGACACCTTGCTTCCAAACATGTTACATTAACCACAGTTATGTCGCATCCTGCATTGTGAATCACAAACACACACACGCGCGCGCATACACGCACACAAATATATACATATAAAGTAACCATCCTGTAAGGCATGCAATAATTAAGAAAAGTCGTGTAAGTTTAGAAACCATCAGATGCCGCACCTGTCAACGCACATAACGAGATGTTAAGAAAAACACAGCACAAACACATAGGCAAGTAAACATGCAATTTCATCGAGGCAAAAGCTAAATGTTGCAGAAATGTTTTAGCAAAGATTCAACACCTTAAAGCGTATTATTGATCCTTACATTCCCACAGGTCGAAAGACAGGAGCTGCATTTAAACAATTCGAGCATGTTTGTCACATGCAATTGCAAAACCAGCGGGCTGCAGAGAGTTGTGGTATTCTTTGACTAGACAATCTTGAAAACAAATACTACTTTTTATGTAAAAAAAAGGGGGCACTTGAATAAAGCCGAGCCTTAAGTAGAACAACGGCATAGAAGAGTATAAACCTGTACGGAGTGGGTTGGCTAGTATATCGGCGCCGCGTGACGCAAGTACGAGCAACGGCTAGGAAGTCCACTTGCACGTACAGTATAAACATATATGTAGCCCTACACGGCCTAACCAAATCAAACCATATAAATTGCTTGGGAGAACAGGTTTCGCGGAGCGCGGTGCTCTAAAGAAACTATCCCTACCAGACCCATCTCCTCCCGCCGAATCTAGTGGCATCGGTGCATAGCCGTTCAGTGGAACGCGAGGGAAGATATATAGCTTTTATTCACTTTAAGTCTAGAGGGACGGCCAACGTCCACGGGTTCCGGTTATCATGACAGATTGAGGTACGGAACAAAAATCAATCACTCATGACACAATCAGAAGCAGTACATTCCACTATTGATTTAAAAAATAATTGCAAGTATGTGTCTTCAGGCTTGCTCTTTTTTTCAAACAGCGTGCTATCGACAACATGTTGGCATGCCTTATCTTTAGCACCCTTAACACAAAAGCTGGTGCAATTCAAGTCACGAACATGTGGCACACAGGAAGCCCTACCTAGCCCATCCTGATAGTGGCCCCCAAGAGGACTACTACAAAGAGGAACTGATTTCCGCGGGGAAAGGGTTGTACATCGCGGCTTGGAAGCAGAAGTATCATCCGATTCTTGCCGCTGCTCATCAGTTGGACCCTCTGGTATATCAGGAAAATGCAACATTGTTGAGCGTAAAACGCTTCGCGCGAGTGGGGCTGGAATAGTCTCGTTACCGCGAAGAAGCTCTTCAACGACAGAAGCTGAGCGGTTTGGGGCTCTAGGCAAAGAAGCTGGCAGCACTGGATCTTCCATCGACATGTCCAAGTGGTCAGTGTTATCCCAGTGTGTGAGAGCCTCACCTCCCGTGGTGGACTCGGAAAGCGGAAGTCCTAATTCGTCCAAAGACAAACTTGACGCCCGCATAGGACGGTCATCGAAGCACCAAAATACTGAAGTAGGAACTGGAGGGGGGGTTGGATCCTCGTCAGAATCAACAAAAACATCACGGTCCTCTGAAGATTGTGAGAAGAGAAAGGTAGGAATCGGTGATCTTACGGGAACTTCCGTTGACCGCAACAGTGCGGCTTTAAGAGCTAAAGGAATAGGAAAAGCAACAGTAATAAGATAAGAGTGACAAAGCAAACAAATATAGTAAAAAAATCATTGTGATAAGATAACACGGTGAATCTGAGCATTTTTGTGAAATTGCGTTCATGCAGATGATGTTACAGAAGCTTGTTTTATTCAAATTTCAAAATAATAACATATTTTTAATGTACTTTAGAATTGTGTGTTGCACCTTTGAGTGACGTTTACACGGCATAGAAACGCAACGTTACTGACTGATGTTTGCAACCATATCGATTTCAATGATAAAAAAGAATAACAAACAAAAGCTCAGACTAAAGCGTGTTAACGAGCAGAGCGTAGAATTGAAGTGAAATGTGTACCTTCTGGAGAATTATCAGTCCCACCAGAGGAATCCCATTCGTCTGACGGCGTAGCTGCTTCGTGCAGCAAGTTTTCGTACTCATCTTCAGAGGCGGCGACATCATCATGAGAGAGTTTGGACAATACCCGTTGATAATCAAATTCTCTGACCGGGGTTGTACCTTCAGCCAAGCTTTGAGATGCCATCCTTTCGAAGTGGCGGTCGACTCGTCTTAGCCTTTTACTGCTATCATCTAAAGTTTCCTTTCTTTTCGAGGCGTTTTCAGTAGGAGCGGTGGCTGCAAAATCGCAAGTTTCACTTGCAGCCTTTTCTTCTTCTACCTTTTCAACTGTGAATTTGTGGAGCTTCGTAACGGGGGTAATTGGGGTATTCGGATCGGAAGAGATCGAATCTTGTGAGTCGAGTGAACCTAACTGAAATTTGACTCTGTTCTGATCATGCGAACGCCTTTGGCCCTCCTTATTAGAATAGGTCACGTTTAAAATTTCTGGAGACGAATTGATTCTAAACCTATCTTCCGGCATATGTCCTTCGTCTGTAGGTTCAGTAACTATATATTCTTCGCCATCTGAGTCGTCGTCCCCAAGATACGAAACGTCCACCGGTGGCGGTCTATCTTCTCGTGACCGCCGCTGTGAATGCGCCCGCCTCTGCATCGTCGGTGTGGTGACGTAACACACATCCTGCGCCGTCTCTTTACTTGTAAGTGGTTCAGGTTCAGCAATAGCACCGGCTTGTTCGGTGACTACTGATACCATCGGAGTATTGCGAAGGAACTCTTCGTCGAGCAAAGGAAGATCAAGGATATAATCACTAGGATTTTCACTGAAGTTAATAGTAGCACCTGCACTCTCTCGCTTACTCCTCTCTTCGGAAGTGTTATCTAAGGCAGCAGCCGTTAAATGATTTTTATCATCTTTCGATTCTGCCACATGCAGGTTAATGTTTACTTCACTTTGGTCACCTAATATCGGCCCCTGCATGTCTGCTCCTGCTCTTTGATTAGCGTAGTCGGAGCTTGAAAATGGCAAAAAATTGTTATCAAGAGAGTCCCTTTTTTGAACTAAATCGATCGGTTCGGACTTTACAACGTCTAGTGGTTGACTGCCATGTGTTACGGCAGTTCGTAATGTAGAAACTGAACTGTCGCCCTCTATGGACGTGGCCTTTCCACTTAACGATTTCTGGTGTCCATCAATGTCTATTTTCACTCTTGATGTTTCATTAAAAGTGCAGACAGGTTTGAGTTCTTCCCCGAAAGTACATTGAGCACTTTCTGATGGCACATGGGGCAGATTTATGATACCAGTCATTTTCTCTGCATTATCTTTCAATTGATCGTGAGTATCGTGCACACTGCCAGAAGGTTTATCACATTTTAATTGCACATTAGTTTGGTTGCTGAAGGAGCCTGAAATACCAAAGTCAATCTTGGTACCAATCTGTAAGTTATCGTTTTCAATACCAGACATAGTGTACGCGCCAACAAATTCGGAAGTGTGTGGACCTGTATCACTTTTGCGCGGTACTAGATCTTCTAAATTAGGTGAAATTGATGTTACGGCGTCTCTGTCAGCGGGCAAAGAAGGACCACCTGAAGCAATACCAACTGCGAAGGAATCTTGATCACTGGCACGGGAAAGATTCAGAGTTTCCCGTGTCACTGTGTTATGGATGTTCTTGTCGTACTCTCCAGTGAGCGTTTCAGGCAGTGGGGCCGAAAAGTTCCTTTCTTCCTTAAGGTTGCTTTTAACAAAAGTAGCACCATCTTCAGGGCCAGGCAAAATTTCAAATTTACTGGAAGTAAGAGGTTCTTCAATTTCTTGTGTTAAAAGTTCCGAAAAAACAGAATCTCGCATATATTCAGGTATCGTAGGTGAAGCGCTGAGATTTTCTGTAGTGTTACGATCGTTGCCAGTTTCCTTTACATTCCGAAAAGTGGGAAGCGGCACAGTACCATTTTCTTTCCCATTGTCAAGTAATTCATCCGCTTGCCATTTACTAATTACCACGTTATCACTAGTGTCTGTGCCGCCAACCAAAGTTATTTCGTCGGAGGTAACTTCTTTCTTTTCAGAGTCTGGCGTAACTCGCTTTAGCTCCTCGGTCTTAGCTGCTTCTTTTTCCATTTGCTCTCTATCGGCTTTCTCTTTCAGAGATTTGTTCTTTTTTTCCTCCTTTTCCCTTTTTTGCCTTTCCTCTTTATCCCGCTTATCTTTTTCCTTCTTTTCTTTTTTTTCACGTTCCCTTTTTTCCTTTTCTTCCTTCTCTCGCTGTTCCTTCTCCTTTTTTTCTCTCTTTTTACGTTCTTTTTCTTCTCGCTCTCTCTCTTTTTTATCTTTCTTCTTGTCAACCTCATCAGCTTTCTGATCGAGTGCTTTATGATAACCAGGTGCTAGTGTCTTCGTGAACATTTCTTCTAATACCGGTGAATTATTGGAAGATTTGAAAGCTGAGTCATGATTAATGTCATTTGGCTGCAGAGCATCCGGTTCGGGTTTTACATTGTAATGAGCTGGATGATTCATTTCGGTGCTGTAAGCCGAAATTCCTGAAACGATAATATTTTCTAAAATACTACATGGAACCAAAGATAACGTCTAAGATAGAAGAGCATTGTTCCGAAATCTAACAGCGGTCTCTGCACTTTGTTTTCCTGCAAATTTATAAAGAGCAAATCGTTCACAGCGAAAGATACTAGCTCATAATTCAGCTAACCGTGCATAGCGTTAGTAGCACCTGGCAAGTCAGAGAGGGATATAAAAACCCATACATAACTCTGGCATTGTGATTAAAAATTAGTAAGGCAACAGTTGGTACTTTCCAAGTGAAAACAAGACATTAAATGGCACTCAAAAAAAAATCAGGACGGGTTAGTATTAGTACCATTTTACGCATCATTCAAAACGTTGTCTTTTGGTTTGCGTTTGCATGTTAGATTTGATTGGAGGATGAAGCATATTCTGAGAGATAGAGGCCTTACCTCTGGGGCTGGGATTTGGAAGCCAGGTGCAATATCCACGACCCGGTGTGGGGCCCGGGATAGGGGTGACATATTCAACAGGGCAGGGAGTTGGGGAAGAGGTCAGAGGCAGGTCAGGAGGCTGCACATTCACTGGCATAACATACTGTACAAGAGACGGTGGAGGGGAAAACTCAAGTGGAAACGGGTCTGTTTGGTCAACGCGCTTTTTTCGACTTCGCCCTGGTAGGGTGCTAAAATTTGGCTCGTGTGGGGTTTGATCGTCGTCTGTGGCACGACACAGCTCCTCAAGGGAGTACGATCTTAGCTCATAAACCGATGGAGAGTGAACAAATAGTTTTTGTAAAGAAGTCACGTTTGATATTTGATTTTGACATTTTTCGTCAACGGACATTGGCAAAGAAAATCTAGTCTCGTCTGGGTTTAGATGTTGCGGTGATTCTAAATGGCGCATACTTCTTATCTCGATAGTATCCTTTCCAGATTCGGTTGTTCTGACAAGCAACATTATTTGTGCGCGAACAGGCTCCACCTCTGACAAGTTAAAATTAGTCAGGGACGATGCTGGAGAGATTGTATTTTCCCTGCTTCCTGATCTACTTCCCTCCTGTCCATCTGGGGTTTGGGTTAAGTTTCTATATGCCCCTTCCCACCATATCTCAGAGAGCGATTGTGACTTAAGCAAAGAGTCCATTGAACTGGCTCGACCCTGCAGTGTCTCTCTAGGAACTTGCGAAAGAGGCCGTGGAGGCATTGGCATAGAAAATCTAGCCACGCGAGCCCTAAATCTATCACTAGTTTTACGTCTCAAACGTGCTTCTTCTCGTTCTACGTCGTGCACAAGCTTATCTATACATTTCTCCAGATCTTCTATACTGCAATTCGTGTCAGCTGATCTGCCATAACTATAAGTATCATTTCCAGTATCTGGTTGTATTTCGTGTTCTGTGGAATAAATTGAACTACAACCGGGCTGAAAATTGGACCCGCCACAGGTGCTTTCTTGTATGATGCGACTTAATCGTGCAGAATACGTTTCAGATTCAAATGACACGTCTACCTCTTGCTCAAAAACGTGTTCTTCGGACTGCCAATTGTTTAGAGACTCATTTTCCTCATTGTTATCATATTCTCGTGTAATATCCCGTTCATATCGCTTAGCTAGGGAACATAAATCAGGGCATGAGTTCTCGTACACACTGTGATCGTAACTACTTCCTTGATTGATAGAATAGTTCTTCCAGAAGTATTCATTTGCCTCATCCCCAGGGTATGTTGCGTTAGAGGTTATATCTAAGCTTCGCTCGTCATCGACAGTGGAACCACATCCTAAATTTCCACAACCAATGCATCCTACAAAGTCAATGTTTTTCCCGTAATTCATAGCACATTGCTCTAGATCAGTTATTTGCGAACCTATGTTTTCTGAACATCTATCGACTTCTTTCCATGCATCAAACGACCTACTGAAATACTCTAAATCGGATGTATCAGCTTCGTATTCAAGTAGTTCCGTGTCTGATAATTCTTCTTCATAAAGCAAATCGTCTCTCTCATACTTCTCATCTATTAATTCATCGTTCAGTATTTGCTCTTGTTCCACCTGGAACAAAATTCGGCCCACTGTCATTTGCAGTTCTTCCAATTTCATGCTAGCTTCTGCTAATGCGGATAGGTCACGCTCGTCCAGTAACGAACTACTTCCGTATTTATCATCGTCAGAGTCATCGACCTCTCTTAGTACAGGCAGCCTCCCCCGACCACGATATACATCTACTGCCTCAGGTTGTTCAAGATAAGAGGCGGGAGGCGAATATACAACAGGATAACTGATAGGGGTAAGGCAGGGGCAGAAGGTGGGCCCCACGAAAACCGGTTCTCTCCAGGAGGTTTTCCCCCTCTCCGACTCCAGTGTGTCTAAGAGCCATAACAGCACAAGCGCAGTCAGCAGAACAGCCCGAAAAGAAATTTAACACGTTCAGTGCAGGGGTGATTTTGTTGTTTACGAACTGGGTCCCTCGGTTCCTTTTCACCATCGCTTAGTTTCACCTTTGACCGGTGGTTGCTACAATTTTTCAATTTACTTTTCTTCCCCAGCCGTCACCACGTTAAGTTGTCCAAAACGTTAGCTCAAGATTAACAAGAACTGCAGTCTTTGCCAACGCATAGCAACAACAAAGTGAGAAAGTCTTCTGACGATATCGGTTTCAGGCGCACTTCGTACTGCTAACTATGTGAAACCAATGTCATAACGTTATCGCCGAAAACATTTCGCACGGGGAAAGTCGAGCATACAGGCTTAAAAAACGGGTTTTTGATTTTGAGCAACATTCGATGTTTAAGTTCAAGTGTGCGAAACTGAGACAGATTCTGGTGTCATGCTTGTTTATATATCAATTTGAGTGCAAACTTTTGACATTTTCGGAAAATATACGAGCTGAACACCATATGGTTTCGACGGATATCATAGAACTGTTACACCAGTAACACTAAATCGCAACGGGACACGGGCAGGCCGTGTGAACTTTAGACAAAAAAAGATGCGGTAAGGCAATGCAAGAGACCCAATTTCAAAAAGTCTGATTATTCGGCATCATGATTAAAAATGAAAAATATTTGGTCAAAATAAAAAAATAAGTGCCCCAAGGCTTACCCTTTAGCTACACAACGTCCCTACCTACAGTGGGCTAGGGTGCCACAGGGACGGGTTCCTTTGGGTCCTGGTTTTAGACCGATAGTAGTTTGGGACGCGGAGACATATTATTCGTTCCGCACTGAACGTGTTAAGTACGTTAGACGGAAAAGTCTAACACCGACATAGATCGGTCTTCAAAATAAGGATCTCAAAAATATTAAAACCATTGGGCTAAAGCAAAACGTATTCATCGTGAATAGCACAGACAAGTCCAGTACAAACAGTATCAATTCGAAAACACCAACATGTCAAAACAACGCATATGTAATTAAAAGTACACATCTGCGTCTAGAACAGCGTCACAGCCAAAACACTTTCCTAAAGGTGAAAGTTATGTAAACATATTTTATGAGAATTTCGTTGCTGCAAAATAACTGTAAGAATTGCGCTGTAGGGGCACAGTTTTAGACACTTAAAGCATATATATGAGATGTGTACGCAGTTCGAATAAATAAACACCCTCCTGCGAAATTTGTTTCCCTTAGAAAGGTTATTTAACGACACTCCACAATAATCACAAGTGCAGCATAATACCTATTAACACTGAGAGAATAATCCCTACTCACTAAGGTGCCGAGTGAATTTGCAAACGGAACCCTTCAGCACTCACCTTCTAGTTGTGGGGATGCTACATCCGAGGAATGGTCTCTGTCTGCAATCAGAATAAAATTTTGGGCGTTAAATAGGGCCAAACTAAAAAGAGTCGCATTGATTTTTCTATACTGAGGTTTAAGCGTTTGTTCCATGGCCTTTACGGGAGTAGTAAACTTCCAAACGTGCTTTACATACAAGAACAAACATCCGAAGTATTTGAAAACACACACCAGGTGGCTGATAAGGCCGCGAACGTTTTTAGTTATACTGTTCCCCATTCCGACGGGCGGTCGGTCGGTCGATCGATCACGCGCCAGGGATACGCAAAACTCAGTGTAACAAAGCCAAATTATCTTCAAAATCGACCAACCCATATATTTTTGAAAAGGGGAAAGAAGAAAGATTATTATTTTGTAAAATATTGATACTTTGAAGCCAAATGGTGACGCAGAGAAGTATTGAGTGACGATTAGGGTTGTAAGTGTACACTGGCCGTTTTGAATCCGTCATTTCTCGTGTTTAGAGACGTCCTGGGCCGAAACATGAAGCGAGCCGATTGTTCGCTTGACTTTCAGCTTTTTAATCGACTTTTTGAAATTTGAGCGTTTTACTGAAAGCGTAATTCGGCGGGACAGATAGGTCGCACCGGAAGTGCCGGCTCCTGCGTCCGGGCGTGCAGGCAAGCTTTCAGTACAACGCTAAGTTCTCGAGAACCAGGCATCGTAGAGAAATTTTAAGAAGTCGACTAGAAAGCTGAAAGTCAAGCAAACAATGTTTAGACATAGGACGTCTCTAAAAACGGCCGGTGTATACTTTCAACCGGAATTGTCATTCAATACCTCTTTGTGTCACCACTTGGCTTCATAGCGCCAATATTTTTACTGAATAATAATCCTCGTTCTTTCCCCTGTCCAAAAATATGTAGGTTCGTTGATTTTGAAGATGATTTGGCTTTGTTAATCGGAGTTTCGCGTATCCCTGGCGCTCGATCGACCGACTGACCAGTCTCTCTTAAAGAGATAGCCCTAACCTTTCAGTGACCGACCGAGCTGTCGAGCGACCGAGTGGGCCGTAGGATACGTAACTCGGTGTAAGAAAGCCGAATTAGCTTCAAAGTTTATGAACACAAACATTTTTGGAATGGTAAAAGTACAAGGATTGTTGTTCTGACAAAGTATTGGTGGTTTAAAAACGACCGTCGTACATTTGAGAACTAAATCATCTTTTAAATCCTCATGACGTCAACATTTGACTTCCAAACACTAATATTTTTTCAGAACAACAATTCTTGTACTTTTCACTCTTCGTAAATATCTGTGTTCACACACTTTTAAGCTAATTCGGCTTTAATACTCCGAGTTACGTATTCTACGGCCCACACGGTCACTCGACAGCTCGGTCGGTCGCCACTCACCATTGTGCGCTACACTATATCTAAGGAGTACAAGGGGTTAATCATACACCTGCCATTATTGCAACAGGTGTTAATGTTTGTAAGATAAAGGTAAATTGAATTTTACTAAGATTGGTTTACTAGCGGTAATAGAAAATCCGTGCAAAAGCTTTCAAACATGTACAATAAAGAAACACTACACCTGTCAGAGATTGCAACATGTGTTGACGTTTGTAAGATAATGACGAATTGGTTTTTACTAAGATTAGTAAAAAAGCGGCAATAAAAAAACCCGTGCAAAAGCTTTCAAACATGTACAATAAAGAAACAGAAACTACAGCCACAGTAATTTTGAAATATCCATATGAAGTTTTCTTTACACTTGAGGACACTCAAGCTACAGGGACAATAAAGCATCGAGAAAGAGGGAGTTTTAGATATTAAGCAGATCTGGTAGAGCAGTTGCTGAATACTGGAAGATTAATTCTCTTATTGGAAAAGAACTGCGATTAAACACAGGTGCTCGCTTGGAAACAGGCTTCTGTATGAAGGGTTTTCGAATATTTTGAGCATAAAGGAGATAAAGGGCGGCACCGAAAGTACTTTTTCCACAATCAATCAAACTAATTTTAAATGCGAATGTCAGTACCTTCAGCTGCCAGATCAGAAGTATTGCGTCTGAGGGATAGATGACCCTGATCGCGAGATACACAAACACAGACCGATGAGCTCAGCGGCCCACTTTCATGGCTTGTAACGCAGACACATATTTCTGGGAGCTGGTCTACGACGGTTAAATGTCCAGTCATTTCTTCCTCAGAAAGACCAACTTCTTCGACGTCAGTGTGGGTTTCCCCAAGAAGCCGCCCTTTGACATATGGCGCTTCCTCTGGCGCCTCCAGATTAATTTTGCGCATCGATTTATCAAAGATAATTGATTGCTCCACATCTATGGACACGCGAGCTGAACGAACTAACTCTTCGTCAGCAGATGTAACAAAGTCATCCTCAATATCGGTGTTGCTTACTTCTAATGGAATACTGACTGATCCGCACTTTAGATTTGATGTGTAGGAAGTTATTTCTTTACGCCTTTCGGCAGTAAAAGGGCCGTCCCCCTCTGCGCTAGCAACCACTTCAACGCCAAATGTTTTGAATATCTCTGGTGTGGCTCTATTTTCAGTATTGTCATACTCGTCTTCTTCAAGTCCGGACGTCGCGGACATGTCTTCAACATCTGTTTTCTCCTCTTGGGCATGGTGTATACTAAGTAACTGAAAGTTTGTTCCAAGATTCTCGACTTTTAACGATTCTTCAAAATCACTTACTTCGATCTCTTCGACGTCAGATTTACCGATTTGGAATTCTTGTACAAAAAGGGAAGAAGTAGCGTGCTTTAATCCAACCTGTTTCTTTGCTCGTCTTTTCTTAGACCAGCCATTTTTATTCGCATCTTCAGTGTCAGTTAATGAATCAAAAAAGTCAGTCCCCGCAGCTAACGTCTTTGATGTTTTCTTTTGATATTTGACCGAGTCAGTTGCTTTCACTGACCCTCCATCTATGTCGGGCAAATCGGGGCTTCTGCAATCGAAATGTTCATCCTCTGACTCACCCAGGATATACTCCGTGTCTGTTGTGCCAGCAGTTTCTTCCGCAGCAACCATCAGGCCTAGTGGCCGACCATCGCCTAAGGGCAGTACCACGGATTCTGGTCTACCTTCTTCGATTTCTTTAAGCAAAGTTAGTTCGCGAACTGGTGCAGGCATACGTTCATCAGTGACGTCAAAGTCAGGTTCGGGAGTACATGGGCGCAACGATTCGTCGTCTTCGTATATTTCAGTGTCTGTCAGACCACCTATGTCCGATACAAGAACATTTAGGACACCGAGTCCACTGTGCTCCTCAATGTCACTATGATCAGTGAATTTGATGTCTTCACAGTCTGTTCCGTATCTGTCCGCTATAATAGGCCCAGAATTCTTTTCCAACTCGACTGATTCGTCATGATCAGAGCTGTCACCTTCATCTGCCCTTCGCAGTGTAATTCTTGGAACTTTACGCTTTGTAACACATTTCCGCTGCAAGCCTAACTCTTCGTCAGAACTGGTGCAGCTGGACTCGCAACATTCTTTCTTATTACGAGAAGGGCGTGAGATGTGAATCACATCAACAGAGCCTCGCCCCTCTTTGGTTATACGTGTTTTTATTTCATCTTTATCAAAATCGACATCCTCAAAGTCCGTAAGCGCCTCCGTGACGTCTGGACTTACGCTTAAATAAGGGACCGGCGGAATATCAAGATTGACCCCAGGATTATCAAGATCCGACAGTGCCAACTCCTCTCCTTCTGTATCGGCTCCAAGAATTTCACTAGGCGAAGAAGGCGCAACTTGAGAAATGATCATTTGACCGCGTTCGGGTAGATCTAGCTCAGTTGGCGTAATGTCTTCCCTAACATGCTCTTCAGAAGCAGACAGGTCTAAATCTTCGATATCGGTTATACTTTCACTTTGCATATCAGGTATAAGGCCTCTTGGGGATTTGCTACGCCGTCGGCGCGAGCGGGGACTGGGCGATTTCAATCTGTTACTTGATTTTGCACAGTCTACTTGTTCATCACCTTGACTCCAAGTGTGGGATGGTGCAAGAAGTTTGCGTTTGGAAATTTTCTTAATGGAACGCGCAGAATGCTTATGTTTTTTTGCGAGATAATCTGGAGTTACTGAGGGAGACGGGGAGCATGAGATCGAACCTCTTAACTCGTCTGCAATGTCAACGTAACCGGTCTCACCAAGGATCGTATCAATTATGCGTAATTCGTCATCATTATACTCTACTTCCTCTATTTCGAAATCACCTTCATCATCCTCTAACTCCTCGATATCTGTGGACCCATCGACGAGTTCGCTCTCTAGTGCAACCAACGTAATTCCAGTCGGTCGACTTCTGGACATTGTTTCGAAGTGAGTTGGACTATCGCCCATTTTAAGTGTTTCGTGGAAAGTGTTGTCGAACTCAACACAGGCATCAATAGCAACACCAGGGCTTCTATGCCCGTCCTCGTCATCCCCGGTATCTGAGGCCTCAAACACATCCACATCTGTTAGATGGCTTGGGTCCTCAGTGAACAATAAACCTGGTGCGTCATGGGAAGCTGCCGAAGCCGATTCGTCGTCTCCTGAACTGATAGCGATGACAGGGATATCACACATCGTGAGAAATCCGTCGCAATGCTGACTTCTGGTAACGGGGGTGTCGCCCTGCTCCTCTTTTATCGCACAGAGCACCTGCGGTGGCACAAGTTTGATTAGAGGCAAGACGAAGAGAAAATTTAACAACACAAAATAAGA